TGACCTTTCCTCCTGATATGTGTCACATAGATCCAGCCTCTTTTCCTGGAGGGGCCTGAGTAACAACAAGGGTCTGAAAGGGCTTCTCGTTTATGTGTGTTTCACAACCTTCAAAAACTATTTGCTCACCAGTCCGGCAGACATGCTCAGGGCTAGAGTGACCTTCCTATAAGCTTCCACATTGATTATTCAGAGGATTCTCTCAACTTTAATATATTAGAACTTTAAAAACAGGCAAACTCTTTCTAAAGCTTTGTTGTTGTTCAGTTGCTCCGTCATATCCAACGCTTTGCGACCCCACGAACTGCAGCACGCCAGGCTTCCCTGTCCTTCACTGTCTCCTGGAGTTTGCTTAAATTCACGTCCATTGAGTCACTGATCTCATCCAACCATCTCATCCTCTGTCACACCCTTATTCTCCTGCCCTCAATCTTGTCCAGTGTCAGGGTCTTTTACAATGAGTCAGCTTTTCCATCAGGTGGCCAAAGCATTGGAGCTTTAGCTTCAGCATCAGTCCTTCCAATGAACAGTCAGGATCCTTTTAGGATTGTCTGGTTTGATCTCCTTGCTGTCCAGGGAACTCTTGAGTCTTCTCCAACACCACAGTTTGAAAGCCTCAATTCTTTGACATTCAGTCTTCTTTATAGTCTAGCTTTCACATCTGTACATGACTACTGGAAAAACCATATTTTTGACTAGACAGACCTTTGTTGACAAAGTGAAAGTCTCTGCTTTTTAATATGCTGTCTAGATTTGTCATAGCTTTTCTTCCAAGGAGCAAGCAACTTTTAGTTTTGTGGCTGCAGTCACCATTTGCATTGGTTTTGGAGTCCAAGGAAATAAAATATGTCACTGAAAAAGTGAAAATGATGACAGATTTTATTTTCTAAAGCTACTGAATCCTAAAATTCAGTGTCTCCAATTACTCTTTGAAGTGTGAGCTTGGGTTTAGGAGTGGCAACACATGAGATACGGTCTAAGCAGGACACACATGGCTCTCTCCAGAGGTTAGATGAACAGAGTTTCATAAAGATATCATAGAGTTTAATAAGGATTGAGCAGAATTTAATAAATATATTGAGAACTAACGAGGTGGCAAAGGACCCATGGAATAGCCTCAGCCCCAGAGCTTTTGGTACCTGTTAGGTCTTCAGGAGAGGGGCCACTGTACAGATTCTGGGTGTTGAGAGAGGAATGTAGTCTCTTCCAAACTATGGCTTATGGAGAATAAACATTGAGAACCCTTGTTTCTCTAGTCTTTGCTCCCTTAGTTTCCTCCTAGTGCCTCCCTTTGGCTAAATCCAATCAGAAGCCAGAGGACCACAGAGCATAATGAATCCGGAGGTCCAACTTGAAAGGCACAAAAAGCAGAGTGTAGTGGAGCAGGGAACACATGCAAAGGGCAATTGAGAATATCCAGCAGAGGGAGGCTCTTGATACATGTATACATTATGCACATTGCACGTAGGTATACACATACATACATATTACCCAAGAAAGTGAAAGTCACTCAGTCGTGTCTGACTCTTTGCAACCCATGGACTGTAGCCTGCCAGGCTCCTCTGTCCATGGAATTCTTCAAGCCAGGGTACTGGAGTGGGTCACTGATCTCTTCTCTGGGGGATCTTCCCAAGTCAGGGATCAAACCCAGGTCTCCCGCACTGCAGGCAGATTCTTTACCATCTGAGTCACTAGGGAAGCCACATTATCCATAGTGTATATTAAAAGAATATAGATAGATACCTAAAGTGAAGTAGCTCAGTTGTGTCCGACTCTTTGTGACCCCATGGACTGTAGCCTACCAGGCTCCTCCCTCCGTGGGATTCTCCAGGCAGGAATACTGGAGTGGGTTGCCATTTCCTTCTCCAATATACACCTATACATGTATATATTTGGAACCAATACAAGTTATTGATATCTAAAGGATTTAAGAATACTAAGTTTAACATGACTTCTTAAATATCTTCCTTAACAGGAGGCTCTAGACCAGATGTCCACAAAGCTTATTTGTGAAGGGTCAAATAGTAAACATTTTAGGTCTTGCAGGCTATACGGTCTCTGTCACAACTACATAGCTTGGCCATTGTATCACAAAAGCAGCCACAGACAATACATATTTGACGAGTATTTCTGTGTTCCAATAAAACTTCATTGTTGAGCACTGAAATTTTGTTTCATATAATTTTCAACTGTAACAAAGCATTTTTCTTCTTTTAATATTTTTCAGCCTTTTAAAAATGTAAACATCCTCTTACTTTCAGGCACTGAAATGAACCTGTTGTATGCTAATTGTTCTTTTTATAATATCATTTTAATGAAAAGTCTTAGGTAAGGAATAAATTCTACTAGAGATGTGGGAACATTATGGAAAGATATGCCAAAGTAGGAGGGAAAGCAGATTTAAACAGTAAATTCGTATTTGTAGTTTTGTGTTCACTGAATTTTATAGTAACAAAGTGTTCAGAATAAACTCAGCTACAATATTTTTTTCACATGGTTATTTTTCTGGAAAATTCTGTGGTTTAGCTGGATAAAAGACCTCTGGTTTACATCTATTTCCTTAAAGAAGAGAAAAAAAAAAAAAAACCCACACATTTTAAAAAAAATCTGTGATTTAAGACTTATGAACCTGCAGATGGTGCTATGATGCCATTTTGAAATTCAGTTTTGCTTTCTATTTGAATTCATAGGAGAAAATGCAGTTCTTTGATTTAGTTTACTTTTATTCAGAGGTGATAAGATTGAATTAATTCTAGTTTGTGTTTTATTATTATAATTTATTGTTATAATTGGAGAAACTTTCTTCACAATTGGAAAACTTACTGTAGGTACTCTGTGTGAATGCTAAGTGCTTGCTTAGACCAAGTAATAAAAAAACTTTTATGTCTTTTTACTTTTAGGTTTTTTTCTGCTTACCTTCAGCATTGGATTTCCTGTGACTCTCAATCAACGCATTTTGCTGTTGCTGTTCTTAAATAAAATTGCTTCACTGGGAATTAGGTGACGAAAAGCTAAAGATAAAAATGTTCCATATGAGACTAATGTCAACCTCTAGCTTGTAACCATCAGGTAAAAAAAGATTTCCTGGAATTAAGCCACAGGAACTCTGGCTTAAGTCAGAGCTGTCAACTGGGAAACAAATTTCCAGACATTTTGAAATTTAATTCATTTAATTTTTCTTGTAACTGGGTTAGAAAATATGATGAAGCATAGCAGGATATTCTTTTACTGGATTTGAATGAAGCAAATAGATATTGAAATCGTAAAGTAGAAGGAAACGGGGCTTCAGGCTGTTACCCCTTCCCTCCGGAACTTACAAAGAAAAATATAAAAATACATAGCCCAGCCATTTTTTTTTTTAAGTAAAAGGAAGGATAGCATTTTACTTTGCTGTCCATTAAGTTGTTCAGGCTTCTGTATTTTTAATCTTAAACTCTGATTGAATGTATGCTAGGCTACTTTGAATTAGAAACCCACAAATAGAAATTAAGTACTTGTCAAAGTACTCCATAAAGGCTTTCCAACCAGTTCTTTGAAATCACCTGTCAAGTGACTGAGTTGGAAATGTTATAAGCTGCTATGGATGTTGGTCTATGTTCAGGGATACATAAAATTCCACACGGGGCAAGAACTTAAAAAATGCATGAGTATGACTTTTAATAAGAAAGAAAAAAATGACCCTTTGGGGCTATCTAGTATGATAATTTATTAAGTTTTTTGTATCATTTGAGATCATGTGTGTGAAAATGCATTAGGAATGATGACATTTTCTACCAATGTGAAATAGTAGTACTGCTACTATTCTATGCAACAGTGTCCATATTACACTATCTTAGAGGCTTTTTGAAAATTTATCCAGGGATTAGTTTCAATATAAGGAAAATGTAACAATAGAATATAGAAAGTTATTTCTGGTGCTTTTACAATTAAGACGGATCTCAGAAAAGTTTAAGTCAGAGTCTATATGAAGAGTATAAAAATAAAAAAGCTTTAGGGCAATTGATGCCTTGTAATAAAGGAGAATTATACACTGGTAAGCCCATGAGCCTAAGCATTTGTTGCTTTCTGCATCTGTTCCTACACATAAAAATTCTTATTTTCTAAAGGCATTCCCAGTGGCCCTGGGCATAATACTAATCAGTCTTTTATTTCATTACTACTAATTAGAGATGAAAATATTTCACATGAAGCTCAGTACCTTTTTCTGTTTAAAGAAAAGTAAATTTCCTCTTTATATCTTACATCTTGAAGTTACTCACTCTAAATTTATATAAATCAAGCATAATGACAATTTAATAAGAACTTCGAGTCCTATTCATCCCATGAGAGTACTAGTGTGACGTCTTTCCGAGAGCTGTGTGATTGCTCAGCCCAACGCATAAGCCCTATAAAATGATGGGCTTGAAATGCTGGTCAGGGTAGAGTGAGAAGCAGTTGCTGGCAGCAGTAGTCAACCTCAGCCAGCACCAAGTTCTGGTTCAGCTGGAGGGCAAGAGAACTCGAAGACCGACTCCGAGGACTTCAGCACCTGAGACAGCGCTCACAGCCTCAGAACAGACAGCTCTCAAGGACCACGACTCGGCAAAGTAAGTGAAAACTTGACCTTTCTTCTTTCTTTCTCCCCCTGACTCTGGAACTTTTCTCTGGATATATTGAGTTTTTATTTCTCTTGAAAAATAACTTTACAGTGTTCCTTCTTTACAACAATAAAAAGGCAAGTTTCTCAAGTCACCTGGTAAGTATAGAAATGCCTCAACGTCTCACATATGAAGGGGTTTTCTGAATTCTTTAGTTGGAAAATGCTTCACTCTGATTGCTTTTTTATTCAATGCCAACTTTAAAATAATGCCTTCAAGTGGGGTTTTTTGCTTTTTTGCTTGTATATAAATTTTTAACTGAAAGTTCAGTGGGTACATATGTACTGAAAGTTTCAACTTGTTACTTAGTGTTGTTCTTTCCATTTCATTTGTTAATTATGTGAACTTACAAAACATTTATTTTTAAACGCCACTCAGATGCTGTCTTCACTGACAACTACACACGCCTTCGAAAACAAATGGCTGTGAAGAAATACCTGAACTCAATTCTAAATGGAAAGCGAAGGTAAAGAAATGAGAACTTGCTAACATGAGAAATTATAACTGACTTTCAAAATAGTAGTTGCATATGGAGACATATCTCTCTCTCTACCTTTGAAGCAGTAATTCTCAACCTTAGCTAACATTAGATTACCCTGGAGAATATAAAAAATATTGATGTCTGACCCTAACCCAAAACCAATTGCCAGGAAATTAGTGTCCTTAGGCATGTGGCTGTGGACACAGATATCTTCTGAGTTCTCCAGTTGATGCTAATGTGCCTCCAGAGTTAAAAATGATCACTGTAAAGACATCTGGTCTGGGTCTAGGAACAGATTTTATCAAAAGTGCTGCTTTTTAAAACATGTGAAGGGCAGTCAGCTAGCAATTTGTTACCACATGGAATTCCCTTTTTACTTCCAAATTCAATTATCTATTTTACCAAATTGAACCATGAATTATTTTGTCTTCTCGGATTCAGTAAAACCTGTGTCTTTCCATGGTATGTAAATATTGGAACACAATATATAGGAAACGCGATCCTTTCTCTTTTATTCCAGTTATTTTTGTTTAGATGGGGAGTACACAAGACAACTCTATTTGGGTGAGATCAAGCAAGATGGATCTCTTTGGCCACCAGATTATAATTCTTTAAGAAAGCTTTTAGACCATTTAAGACTGAAGAGCCTGTCATAGGTAATGACTCACCTGAAACAAAGGTGTTTAGCCCCCAGAGCCCTTATCTGAGCACCCTGTCCTGCCTAGGCCATGCATCAGCTCTTCTTTAGAAGCTTTCTCATCCAAGAGCCTTCACAAGTACATATCTCTCTTTCTGGTCTGCAGCAGTGAAGGAGAGTCTCCTGACTTTCTTGAAGAGTTGGAAAAATGATGAGAAAGCTCTTTGGAGCAAAGCTGCTGACAACTTCCCAGTGGTGAGTATATCTGTGTGTTCTTATAAGCTAGTAGCAACCATCTCAGTATTTAAGTGGGTAGGAGTCACTTGGTAAAAAACATCATAATGTTCTCCCAGTGAGACCTTATCTAAGAAGGACGCTTCTACCTAAGTGGATCACAGCTTAGTAGAGCTTGAAACAATTCATGCAGTGTTCTGATAGCATGAAAAAGACAGCTCACAATGAGTAAACAGGTCAGTACCTCCTACTTTGTTCAGACTCATTCCTGTCCTTTTGAAGAAATATTGAAAAAGGAGATTGAATCACACTAGTGAGAAAAACTGGCTTTCTCTTGGATAGTAAAGCCATGTTGCTTTTATTAAAATCTAGTCTCACAATTGACTGTTAACATCTCATTTAAGTATAAGGAAATACTACCAAATTACAGTGTGGCTTGTTATTGGAAAATACCAAGACACCCTGGGTCTCTTTGTTTCTTTTTTTAACTTTTTATTTTGTATTGGGGTATAGCTGATTAACAAAGTTGTGATAGCTTCAGGTGAACAACAAATATTGTATTTCTTGAAACATAGTAAACTTCATGGAGCAAAAATCAAATTTAGTTTATTTTATCTATAAAGTGAGTGTAGATACTACGACTCCAGTAATATCCACTGTAAAACATATTTGGAGTAGAGAAAACACAAATAGATTTTTTTCTTTGCTAAGTTGATAAGATTGTTATCAAAATTATTTTTGTGTGAACATGGACACAAGGCATATTTCTTTCCTGAGTTACATTAATGTTTACAGTAGCTCATAAAATATTTTTATAATGCTTGGCAAGTCTTTAAAGAAATTTTGTAGCATCACTCTATCAAGTTGTCACAATTTTTCTCTAAAGGTCTCTGAGGACAAATTTTTGGGTTTGTGTATCCTACAGTTTCTGGAACACCTGCTCAACTCTGCTCTTGTAGCATGAAAGATCCCTGTAAGAGAGATATGTGGTCAAGGGTGCTGCAGGGTCCCATTCCTCATCATGCACAGACATTTCAGAGAAACAAACTCCTCGAATGCTCAAAAAAGAGAGTTACATACAGATTCTCAGTGGTTTATCAAATAAGAGTTTTCCATTAAATTAAGAAATACGATAGGCACAACAATATAACAGAGGATTCATTACTCTGTCCCCTTGTGAGAGTCCAACCTCCTTTTTTTGCTCTTTTGAATGGGTGACATTGGACAAATTCTTTTAACAGCAAGTTTTGCTGGTCAGCCAATTCTGAAAATTACAAATAAGAAATTATTTATGACTAATTAGAGAACCCCTTCACATTCTAGCTCCCTTCCCAACAATAGTTTCCTTGGAAGAGTCCCTCTTGATATTCCAAAACGTGATCCCCTTTCAAAAGCTGCTGATCAAGTGCAAAGAGAAATATTTATTAAATGAGTGGATCAGTAAATGAAAGTCAGAGGCTGTAAATAAAAATGATTTTATGCTTAAAACACCAATTCTTTCTTTTTCAGAATTCTTGAAGAAAAACAATAAGTGAAGTAATTTTATTTTGAGTTCTACATAAGTAATTCAAGAAAACTACTTCAATATCAAAACCAAATAAAATACATTGTGTTGTGAATGTTGTGATTTATTTTACTCTGATGTAATAACTGTGATGTTTACATTGTAAATATTATTTGTGAGTTCTGAAATTTGTCTTTAACTCATGAGAATTCTGTGATTTCATGTGCTGTGCATCCTTTCTAATAAAAATATATTTAATGATAAGTAAATACTAGGTTAATTCCAATTATATGAGGCTTTTTGGAAGGATAGTAATCGAGCAAAATTGATGTGTTTATTTATAGGACATACTTAACTATGCAGAAGAGTGGAGGAGATAATAAGCACATCTAAATTTGAACGTTGAGCAGATAGAATGCTGTGTTAAATAAGTTTCAGAGTGTCTAAGAGAATACCAAAAGCAAAGATAAAAAAAATTCTTTAAAAAAAAGATTTTCAGAAAATGTGTGTTTCTGTATTCTTAGGCAGCATTTATTTTGAATGAGATTTTTAAATCTTTCAAATTTGAATCTCTAATTGCCAAATACTCTTCTGATCGAATGTTTCAGTTAAGGAGAATGGCCTCTATTTCTGACACTGAACTTTTCCTTTATGCTTGTGTTAAGTATGTGTAACGTGTAAACTGAACAGAACACTTGTTTTTCAGTGATAAATATTTTTTCCATTGTCTCTCAGATAATGCTTAGGTCATATCAGCTTTCTTCAGTGAAAGTACGTTTGGAGAAACAACTATTTTTCCAAAATGATTGTAAGAAATTAAATATAGAAAATAAAGACCTTTGATTATCATTGCAGGCACTTTCTGTTGTTTTGATTCTTTCTATTGCTTTGATTCTTTGCAGTAATTTGTTGTAGCTCCAAAGTTCCAGGAACTGAATAGTTTTTGTGATGTTTAGGGTAGAATTATATTTGACTTTGGGTGTGTTCTAAAATAACCGTGACTTAAGTAAGAGAGAAATTTCTTTCTAACACAAGGCCAGAAGTAAAATGTCAAGGGTTAGCATGATGGATCTGCTCCATGAGTCCCTCAGTAATCTAAACCCCTTCTAGCTCACCCCTCATTTTCTAGGACATAGCCCATTTCCTCATTATCCAAAATTGCAGCTAGGTTTCCAGCCATCACACCTGCATTTTAGGCAGCAGGATGGAGGAAGAGGCATAGAAGAAAAGGGAAAAAAGAGTGCATGCTGATTCTCTCTTAACTGATATCTTACATTAATATTCCCTTTAGTAGAACATAGTGTTACAGTCACCGTCATTTGCAAAAGAGGCTGGGAATTTTCTTTTTTTCTGGAAGATCATGAGCTCAGTGAAAAATCAAGGTTCTAAACTATAAATCCCTCCTCTATAACTCTATAAACTCTAAAACTAAAACTCCTCCTCCCTGGAGGAGGGCATGGCAATCCACTCCAGTACTCTTGCCTGGAGAATTCCATGGACAGGGAAGCTGGTGGGTTACAGTCAATGGGGTTGCAAAGAGTCAGACATGACTGAGCTACTAAACAGCAACAACAACTATAAAAGCCCCCAAAAAATGATAAAAGAAAAAAAAAGATATGTCCATGCACGGATTTTTTTAAAATCCCAGGCTATGCATCTTAAATTCTCACCAAAAAGGCTTAAAGAAATGACAAGGAAAATTAGGTTAGGTAGAATCAAGTAGCCCCTAACTATTAATTAAAAAAAAAGATATGTCCATGCACGGATTTTTTTAAAATCCCAGGCTATGCATCTTAAATTCTCACCAAAAAGGCTTAAAGAAATGACAAGGAAAATTAGGTTAGGTAGAATCAGGTAGCCCCTAACTATTAATGAAGAATCATCCTCATTACAGGCAAAACCTTACTCAGTTTCATTTGCTACAATTAGAACAAATGGCTACATGGGGAGAGACTAGTCTAGAATTACTAGTAATTGGAAAATAGTTTATACAAATTGAAATGAATTAGACTAACTGTACCTTTCCTTCATATCTGATTTCACAAATTATAGGTCTTTGTTAAGTGATTTTTCTATGCAAATCGCTCACTGCAGGGAAAACAGAAAACTTCTAGATGCTATTTGCACACAAGAAGCTTATAAAGATCAAAGTTGGGCATCACTGAAGTGCAATTTGAATGTGAATCTAGAGCTTTATGTTATTTATGTATTTTCTTGATCAAACCCAGGCCCTTGGCAGTGAAAACGTGGAGCCCTAAACACTGGGCTGCCAGGGAACTCCCTAAAGAGTTTTGATTTTATCTCATTAATATGAATCTTCTCAATTGACTCCCTATTCCTTCAAGAGAAGTTTGCTGAATGACTGTGATGTACCAGGAGGATATCTGGGAGTTGAGTGCTCTAGGCAGAAGCAAGATGGAGAGCAAGTGAGGGAACAGTCTGGCACATCTGAACAGCAGGAAGGCAGGATGCCCCGAACAGTATGAGCTGGACAAGGACCGAGGAGGAGACAGGGTCAAAGGTGTTACCAAGGGCTAGAACTTGTGTCGCTTCCTTGGTGGTTCAGTCGGTAAAGAATCCGCCTGCAATGTGGGAGCCCTGGGATCCATCCCTGAATTGAGAAGATCTCCTGGAGGAGACAATGGCAACCTGTGCCAGTACTCTTGCCAGGAGAATCCGCATGGACTGAGGAGCCTGCGAGGGTACAGTCCATGGGGTCGAAAAGAGTCGGACATGACTGAGCGACTGCGCACACAGCACAGAACTTGTGAGGCCTCACAGGCCATTGTTAAGGGCTTGAGGAGTGAGAGGAAGAAATAATGCAGAAGTTTGGATTTTCTGAAATGCATGTTGTCAAGATCAATCTGACTGCTGTACTGGGAGGAGGGTGAAAGCGGGCTAAGGATGGAAGATGGAGACACATGAGGAGACCGCTGCTATGAATCATGGGAGAGACAATATGGCTACCAGGGCACCAGCAATGCAGGTGGTGATAAGTGGTCTGAATGCATTTCAAAAGGAGAATCAAGCTTTTCGCTGATAAATGGAAGATATGAAAGAGAAAAGTCCAGAATGGTTCCAAGGTAAACGACTTGTGCAACTTGAAGGATGAGGTTTCCATTAAGTGAGGTGAAGAACACTGTGGGTAAGTGGGTTCCTGGGGCGGATGAGGGCTGTTTTGGATGGGTTAAATCTGATGTTGTGTAGAGTTGAGGATAAGTGTGAGGAGTTGAGGAGGCCGTGGGTGGGAGATAAACTACTGAGAGCCTTCAGTGCGTAGATGGGATTTAAAGTCACAAAAGAGTGAGATCACCCAGGGACTGAATGTTGAGAAGACTCTCATCACCTGAAGTCCGTGAGTGTATTCATTCGCTGGGGCTGGCATCACAAAGCGCCACATACAGAGAGCCTGAAGCAGCAGAAGTGTACTGTTTCCGGAGGTTAGAAGTCGGGGATCAAGCTGTTAGTGGGGTTGGTTCCTTCTAAGCACGGTGACGGAGAACTGAATCCTCTTTCCTGGCTTCTGGTGGTTTGCTGGCAATCTCTGCTTGTGGAAGTGTTACCTCAGTCTCTGGCTTGATTTTCACATGGGGTCCTCCCTGTGTGTCGTGTGTCTTCAAATTTCCCTTTTTTTATGAGGACGCCAGTCATACGGGATCGGAGCCCTTCCCAATGAACTCACTTTAATTTGGCTACCTCTGTAAAAACCAGTCTCTGAGTAAGTTCACGTTCTGAGGCTCTGGTGGTTAGGACTGCAACATGTGGATCTGGGGCGACACGGCTGAACCCAAGGGCTTCTCAGGTGGCTCAGTGGTAAAGGATCTGCCTGCCGATGCAGGAGCTGTGGGAGATGCGGGTTCGATCCTTGGGTCAGGAAGATCCCCTGGAGTAGGAAATGGCAACTTGCTCCAGTATTCTTGCCTGGAAAATTTCATAGACAGAGGAGCCTGGCAGGCTACTGTCCACGGCGTCACAAAGAATCAGACATGACTGAACACACAACAGTTGAACCATAGCACTTGCCAACATTAATAGTTTGGGTTATTGAGGAATAAATGGGGCTAAAAAGGACTAAAAAGAAAAGCTAGTGAAACGGACTGTATGGTTCTTGCCCCCCACCACACACAGACCATGTCCTCTGCCTGTCTTTTGCCTGTGGAAAACTTTAGTCAAAGAATAAGTTTAATCAGAGAAGTGAGAAATGTGGAAACAAAGGAAAACAGTCAAAGGAGAATAAGTAATAATAATGTAATCATGAAGCATAGTAAAGGACCTTTAGTCCTTTCTCGAGCGCTGTGGATAATATTCTGAGCCATATCCTGTGAGCTGTCTTATAGATACTAAGACACCAGGTGGAGAAGATAACTACATGATGATCAGACTATACCAGGACATGAGCTGCCACCATTCCAAGAACTGGCTGCAAAGAAATGGGAACAAATGGATCCTGAGAGTGAAAATTAGCCGAACCTAAAACAGCCATGATGATGCTGGTAAGACCACTGATGATCGATTCAAAGATGGCTTAGAGATGCTTGTGCTGTTTCTGCATGTAGAACCTCTCCCCTAATCTGTCTATTAAAGCTCTCACCCCCTGCCTGTCATTGTCGGGGAATCAGCCTTTGAAAAGATATCTGCCACCCTCCCCCACCGATTGCCAGCATCTGAAATAAAGCAAACTTTCCTTCCCTCCAACCTGGCCTATTTACTGGCTTTTGAGCGGGGAGTAGCTGGACCCACACATACCTTTTGGTAACACTAGTAAAATAAGAAAAAGAATAAAGTAATTCTGGAAAACAAGTGAAGAAAATGGTTCAAGGAAGAAAGCACTCTTAACAGATTTAAATGCTGTTATTATGTAAAACGAGATTCATTTATTGATTTCTTAAGCAAGTATATCTAAGGAATCTGCTACGTGCCCACCACTGCTCTTGATTCTGATGATTTAATAGCGAAAAAAAAAAACAGATATTAACTCCTTCCCCCATGGAGCCTACATTCTATTAAGCAAAAGATCTGATAAATCAAATAGATAAGTAAAATACATGTTATGTTAGAAAATGATATATGCTGAGGAGAAAAAAGTAATGCAGGGAAAGAGAATATGAAGTATTCAAAAAGAAGTTTAAAATTTCACTTGAGATTCCCAGAGAAATTCTTGCAAAAAGGTAAATTTGAGATACACCCTTAGAGAAATGAGGAAATCAGCTGTGAGTTTCTATGAAAAGATCATCCTCAGTTCAGTTCAGTTCAGTTGCTCAGTCATCTCCGACTCTTAGTGACTCCATGGACCACAGCATGCCAGGTCTCCCTGTCCATCACCAACTCCTGGAGTTTACTCAAACTCATGTCCATTGAGTCAGTGATGCCATCCAACCATCTCATCCTCTGTCATCCCCTTCTCCTCCTGCCTTCAATCTTTCCCAGCATCAGGGTCTTTTCAAATGAGTCAGTTCTTTGCATCAGTTGGCCAAAGTATTGGAGTTTCAGCTTCAACATCAGTCCTTCCAGTCAATACTCAGGACTGATCTCCTTTAGAATGGACTGGTTGGATCTCCTTGCAGTCCAAGGGACTCTCAAGAGTCTTCTCCAACACCACAGTTCAAAAGCATCAATTCTTCAGCACTCAGCTTTCTTTATAGTCCAACTCTCACATTCATACATGACTACTGGAAAAACCATAGCCTTGATGTGAGAGACCTTTGCTGGCAAAGTAATGTATCTGCTTTTTAATATGCTGTCTAGGTTGGTCATAGCGTTTCTTCCAAGGAGCAAGCTTCTTTTAATTTCAAGGCTGCAGTCACCATCTGCAGTGATTTTGGAGCCCAAAAAATAAAGTCTGTCACTGTCTCCACTGT